GGGATTTTCGAATAAGGATAACTAAATTGCAGCAGCAGTAAGGTAGGAAACCAGAACCTGTTGCAATTCACGGGGAGATCAAAGGATGATCCGTGGTGGTGGAGATGATGGCGGAATTCGGTGACGATCTTTTAAGCAATTATGGGAATTGCTTTGGATGGTTGTGGAGGGTTGATGGATGACTGTGAAAGTGCAGCGAGACGCCAAGAACGCTGCTCTGATACCAGGTGGTAGAACCCTTGCAGATTCTAAACTTGGGGTTGATCTCTTTAGGGGATCGGCCTCCTTGGAACTCTATAGGGGTTCCTCCCTCCAAGTTGCTGCTCAAAGGCTGCAGAAAAGATTCATCTATTGCTTGAGAAAAGAGGAGGAATACATGGCTATTTATAGGGCTTCTAAACCCTAACTCATAATAGGACTCCTACTTAAGACTCTTACTTCTAACCAACTCATAATAGGACTCCTACTCAGGACTCCTATTCCCTTACAACTCCTAATTCTTCTCTAAGAAAAAACCTCCTACATGAATGTCCCTCTCAATTAGAGTCCTAACAGAATGTCCCTCTCAATTAGGACTCTCCTAGCTAGAGTCCTAACAGAATGTCCCTCTCAATTAGGACTCTCCTAGCTAAAGTCCTAACAGTTTTACATGAATGTCCCTCTCAATTAGGACTCTCCTAGATAGAGTCATAACATTTTTACATGAATGTCCCTCTCAATTAGGACTCTCCAAGCTAGAGTCCTAACATTAACCGAAAACACTTAAATTAACTTTTACATGCTTACATGTTCTTTGGCATGGTGACGACATATTATCCTAAATTTTATATCTTAAATATTAGATTGATAGTAGTGTACGATACTCATTTATAAGAGTCGAGGGTTAAAGATCTCATATGATGAATTTTCGAATGTATTAGCAAGTCTAATCGATAAAGACTCTTTTAAATCATGTGTAATTAACAAAACTTGTTATCAACAAAAGTTAGTAACCTTTAGAAGGTTCGAGATGGATATTTGTAATTTTGAACGAAAGGATAAAATATTACGTTACTCGACGTGGGCACATAAATCTTTGGAAGGTTCGATATTGATGTTTGCATGCAGTTTTGAATGAATGGATAGAATAATAATAATATGTTACTTCACATGGGCGCCAAAAATATAAATAAAGAGTTAAGGGACAACGTGAAGCTTCTCTTTCGATTGTCTCATCCAAACATAAAGAAGGTGAAGAGGAGGAATCTGACAAGAGAAATATTGAAACAGCTCATCCAAAAAATTGAAATCAATGCCAACACGAACCTCCATTTTCGTAAGTGCTAAAGTTAGGACAGCTTCGATATATATATATATATATGTTAGAAGAACACCATAGAAATCCTTCCCGTGATAGGAGTCAGATGTCATGTTGGGTCCATCTACGTACTAAAAAAAGATCAATCATTGTCCGGTGAAAAAGAGTTCAATCGAGACAAATCTTCTCTTTATATGCAACACAACAACAACTTCTCATCTTCGCATATTCTTCCTAGATATGTATCCATCTTAATTTCCTTGCCTAACTCGGCGATATAGGGACCAAAATATTCTCTACCTCATAGTTTTACTCATAATATGGTGCGATTATGGGCATTAATATTGTTAAACGATACAAGCCATAGCCACATACATGTCAAGTGAATCAAAAACAAAGATTTGATCGGTGATAGTAATTCATTCTATTAATGTACATTATCCTCTTAAAAGCAGATTAAGTATATCTATACATAGATGGAGATAGAGGATATATTATAATATAGGTTAGTAGGCTAATCATTATTAAAAATATTCATATGTGTAGGATAAAAAAAGATAATCTAAAAAGAATCGTATTTCTATTGTTATGAATTGAAAGACTATGTCACATATATTTAATTTTTCTCCTGCTTCTTGTTTTTAATTTATATTAGAATAATATATATTAATTTTGATCGATTTGATATAGGTTTTTTTATGATTTATTTTATCAATCCATATAAATGCATCGATCAATTATCAATTCGATATGTATCGAATTACAATACATGATATATTAGATATATGTCAGATTAGTAAATATCATTAATATCGAACGGTACAATAAATCTTGAATTTATTATAAATTGATTTCAAATGATTATCTTCTTAGATTAATAATTTATAGGATAATAAATTACTATTTTAATAATAAATGAGAGAACATATTATATTATGTTGATGGATCGGTCTATCTCATCGGATCCATACGCGACAATAACACGGCCATTCACCAACGCACGTGAATCCCATGGCATCGTTAATCGGCGGTGCGGTCAACTATGGCAGGCAAAGGTGGCGCGACTCGCTGCCACAATCCTGCAAGGATACGCCTCTTGGAAACGCGTCCGTCCAAAATACTGGGTAACGACAGCGGTGTCGGAAGCGCGTTTCCGGCGTGCTCGACAGCCTTAATGATCCACTCGAGCTTCGGATGAACCACACGTCCCGACGCAATCTATCCGATCTTTTGTTTGTAGTGCATTGGGTTGTCGTATGAAATGTGATCCATCGTTGTTTCTCTCCCTTTGATTCCGTGGAACGATCAAATTGTATCGTCGATCATCAATCACTTGTTCTTTCACGTGTGGATCGAGATAAAATATCTTTTAATGAAAAAAATATAAATCTTCATTCGTCACCCATCACGGGAGCGTCAAACACACACCTGTATACGATGGATCGGAAGCTTCGGCTCCGCATGACTACTTGTTCTTCGACCTAATCTACACTATGGTTCGTGTGCCAAAACATTGCTTCGCCTGCATCGAAATCAAAGCTCGTGACCATTAAAAGAGATGACCAAAAATAGAAGGTGTCCACACTAACACGCCATTTGTTGGTATGTTGAATTTAAATAAGCTACATGCCATTTGTCAGTACTTCTCATACTTTTGAAAGATTGTTGTGTTTATCGAGATGAGATGAATGGAAGTCATCGGTCTCATCAAGAACAAAAAGAATACTTCACTTAGTTAGAAGAGATTAAGAAGACTCACAGCAAGAGGATATTTGAACTATGAAATGGAGATGATGAATGACTACTACCTCTTTCTTATCACAGACACATGATTGTCTTCGCTTGCTTCTTTCTGTAAGGATAGAACTGAAAGAATGATATCAGCTTCATTCAAATTTTATTGAGATGAGACGAAGAAAAGTCATCGATCTCATTAAGAACAAAAACAATAATGCTTCACTTAGTTAGAAGAGATTAAGAAGATTCACAGCAAGAGGATATTTGAACTATGAAGATGATGATGAATGACTACTACTACTACTACTACTTTCTTATCACAGGCACATAATTGTCTTCTTCACCTGCCTTTTTCTGCAAGGATAGAACTGAAAGAATGAGAAAAGAAGGTAGAAAACCTCTGCGAAACTGAGATTTCCACCTGCCCCACTCCTGCCAAGACTAGAGAGAAACTGAGACGCGTGAAGATAGATATAACATGAAATGGGATCTTTTGCTTCCCTATCATGCAAAGAAAACGGTTTTCTGATGCTTATAATAAATGGATAAAGATGAATTATTGTGAGTAGAAGAAAACACCTTAATCATAATATAATAAAAAAAATAAGCGCAGAAGGAACGTCTCATTAATCGCATCCCTCCAAAGAACCCCTGTAAAATTATTATTGAATGCTCCCATCCATCACGTTCTAAGAAAGGCCGGTGAAGAAGAAAGAAAATAAAAACAAATTATAAGCTGCAGGAAACAGACAAGAGAGGTGAGGAAACTCTTTTTCAGCAGACCGACCCCATTGTAGTGTAGCAAATCCGCGAAGTAGATGTTATACCGAGGGAGGACGGCCCGTTCAGTACAGTCGCCCTGACGTTGGACTGTGTTGAGCACTGGTGGCGATGCGTCATCATCTTTGCAAGGAGAAACAGCAGCCTCATGTCGTCGTCGTCGTCCGCGAGCTGCATCAAAGAAACACATGCACTGATAACTGACACTGTTGTCGGACGATTGAGCACACTGTACTGTCTGAGTGTCGCCGACGCTGCTTCCATCTGTTCGTCTCCATACGGCAAGTCTTGGGTCTGTTCAGCGCACACGTCAATGATTTCTTTTGTCTTTATATATATATATATATATATATATATATATATATATATATATATTGACAATTCATTATTTTCTATTGACAATCCTTTATTTCATATAACCACTAAAATAATAAAATATAATTTTATTAAATATAACTCCACAATTATCAAAAATATAATCCTTTATTTCATGCATCTCACAACTCCTTGTTTGGTCCAAAATATGAATCTTTTGGTTGATATAAATATATTAACATAAATATAGGTTTATGTTAATAATGTGTATAAAGAGAAAAAATAATGTATCGATGATGTTGAGCAACTTTAGGATGAAATCGACATCAATATGGATGAAACCATATAGTGTGTCATTTACAACAAGATTGTTTGAGATATTACTAGGTAATTTGATTTATTCTGATACCGCTCACATGGCAACCGTCAACAGCCACATTAGCACCAACAAGGAAGTTCCAGATTGATGCGGTATACTACAACGATGTGACACCTCGGACTCAGACGGGATGATCGTTTGCTCTCATGTTGTTTGGCACCGTGCAAGATGACGCTGCATAGTACATAACTACTTCGAAAAGCTTAGAATAATGTATGAGGAGTCGATTGTTATTAACAAATCTCGTATGATTGACTCTTGTTCGTAGGTATAAAAGTCAACCCCTTGACTGACGTCAGGGGGAGAACCTCAAACACTTCGACTCCACATAACCTAACTCAACGTTGACTTGACCTTCAGAGGGGTTGAGTTGGAAAACCCTCTTTCCGACTCTAACCTTTATGCAGGGGTTTAATGGAGAAAAAACAGTAACATCGAGGGAGAGACCACACTCGGGAGATGACGAAGCTTCGACTTGACTCACCCCGACATCGACTTATTCTATTCAAGCTTCCATGTGGTTGACTATGCATACTCGAAATCGAACTAAGTTATGTTGACACATCGACAACAGCATAAGGTTCCAACACCAGGTGAACGTATGTTTGATCATTAGAAGATTGCAACAATTGGAGATTCTTCGAGTCGAAGACGAATGCAGCTCGACGACTAAATTCGAGATCCATCGGTACATGCAAAACCCAAAACCCAATTCCAAACCATAGAGCGGCTCAGACACGAAACAATCTGGCTTGAATCACATCTCAAACCATCAACACTTCTCGTTCAGAAGAACATTATTATCTGTGAGTACAGTTTGCTCTTATCTTGGCGCTCTCATTGCTGATTAATAGCCACGTCATGTGAACTTTTCTTGGGAAACAAAAACTGCAAAATTATATCAATTTATTTAGAAGAATCCACTCTCATATATTTTCTTTCCCCGTCTATCATTAAAATCGCATATTAAACTTAATATTATTTCCATAATTTGTAAGAGTACATAATCTTTTTCCTTAAAAAACTTCCGAAATTTAATGACCATTTGAAGAAACAGAAATCAAACATCATTGCATTACGAGTTTGATGATACGTCCATCCTTTTCATTTATGTGCTGCTTTTTTGTTATTAAATAAGCGTATTTGGTTGATTCCACATCTTTTGGTTCTTCTCCTCCTCTCATTGCGGACTAAAACATTTCTACTCCTTCCGTTTGCTCGTTTTCATACCTGCCTTGCCATTGGAGGAACCAGATCGGTATCCAATAAAATACCAGGTATGTTTCGAGTAACTGTGGATGGATGGAAAATAACATTTTGTTCGTTTACGAAGCACGATTATGGAAAACAGGACGATGGCAAAAATTTCTCCGCGTCTCATGACCCCAGACGTCGGATCATACGATAAGAATAAGACAGAAAACATATAAGAAACTAATGAAAGTTCAGCACGTCGTCCTTTAATAGCCGACGAAATCTCTTCTGTCGAATCAGAAGCCTGTTTCTGTTCTCTTCAGAACAGTAGATCACACAATCACTGATTTCCGGGCCAAGCCTTATCCAGCCCACCAAACAGCATCTGTTACCTCCTCGAGAATACGACGAGCTTGTAGTACCACTTACGTGGCGAAAAACCATTGGATTTCGTTTTTAAGTACAGTGAACGGGGGCAAGACACAAGCGCGTGGATTCGACCGTCACCTTTGAGATTTGTGCTATATCAGTGCGTCAACTTGGGACGGAACAGAAAACCAACGTTAACCTCTGCCTCGATTCCATCGTACCGCTGTTCCTCTTCCCTTTTACCCCACTCCCCTCTATATGCCACTTCTCTGAGGTAAATGCTCTCTGTTGCTCCCCGCCGAAGTCCATGGCGATCGATCACCCTCACCGCCGTACGCGGCTTTCCGCCTTACTCTTAGTCGCGCTGTGGTCGCTGGCGGAGTCCAAGTATATCGCCTACAACACCACGCAACGGATCGTCGCTGACAAGCTCAACGTCCACATCGTAGCCCACACCCACGACGACGTCGGGTGGCTCAAGACCGTGGATCAGTACTACGTCGGCTCCAACAACTCTATTCAGGTCCCTTCCTCCTGATTTCTTGCACATTTGAGTGATTTCCGAATGATCCCGGCGTGAAATTTTTTATCCCCGTGTGGTCCGTAGGGAGCATGCGTCCAGAACGTTCTTGATTCGATCATTCCCGCGCTATTGGCGGATAAGAATCGCAGGTTCATCTACGTGGAACAAGTGGGTCGCTATTTCATTGCCTTGGTTCGGTTTTGATTTGGGATTTTGGGGTTCGTGGAAGACTTATGCTCGAAATGAATACAGGCGTTCTTCCAGCGATGGTGGAGGCAGCAGAGCGACGAGATTAAGAGTACGGTGAAGGAGCTCCTTAGCTCCGGCCAGTTAGAATTCATGTAAAGACTTCTTATTTTTTGTTTCTTTTGGCAGTGTTAATTTGATGTGGATCATTGTTATCGTGAATTCATCAAGGCGTCTCTTTCGTTTTTGCTATTTCCTCTTTTTCTAAATTATGGTGAGTAGTTTTACAAATTAAAATTTCACCTTTTCTCTTTGAAGAAATGGTGGGATGTGCATGCATGATGAGGCTGCAGTCCATTACATTGATATGATTGATCAGACAACCCTTGGGCACCGATTTATCAAGCAGGAATTTGGTATAATACCTAGGATTGGTTGGCAGATTGATCCCTTTGGACATTCTGCCGTACAAGCTTACTTGCTTTCTGCAGAGGTAACATTTTGTGATTGACATCCATATCTAGCTTTCTGCTTTATTTCCATGGATATGGTCCATCCGTGTTAATGTTTTTTTCACCCTTGTGGTGACTGATGAACTCAAGCTAAGATAACTTCTCTTCCAGTATTACTTATCTGTTATAAGTTCTTCATATATTGCTATGATGCATAAATGCTATTTGTTTCTAGCTTCGAATAACAGTTGTTTCCAATATTAACTATAGGCAAGATTTTGATGCAGAGCATGTGAAATTCAAAGTGATATCTATTTTTTCTGTTTGTATGGTTTATAAATTGGTAGAAGCTTGATGCTTTTCTATGGTTACTAAAAAGATTTATTACAGAAATAATACTGATAGATATCGTTCCTGATTCTTTGGATAAAAGGAAGAACATTGATTAAATAACTAGTATGATAACTCCTACTCGAGCTTCTCACTATGCTTCAATACTAGGTAAACTTTGATACCAATTATTAGACCCTTGCTTGATGGGATCTGATAATTGGTATTAGAGTCGACAATGATTAATAATAACTTGATTATTAGTTAATAACAACCGATTTGTGCTCAACGAATTTGTCATTATTGGTTAATAACAATTAATAATACCAATTATCCAATTATCGGTTGTTATTACTATTCTCACTAATTAATAATGAACTCTTCTTTTGTAAGTGCATTCTTCAATGTCATCATCTAAAATATGACAAGCATTATATCATTTCTTTATATGAAGAATCAAGAATGTTGATATGTCTATCAATGTAAAGTCGTGCTATCCTATCTAAATGATATGTTATTATATATAAAATAAAAGCTATAGTCTTTTTTCATTTCAGACCCTTGCATGATATTTTTCTTTGAAGAGGCTTTAATAAATTGCAGGTTGGATTTGATGCTCTTTATTTTTTTCGGATTGATTACCAAGATCTGGCAAAGCGAAAAGACCTGAAGAGTCTTGAGGTTATATGGCGGGCTTCTAAGTCCCGTGGCTTGTCTGCGGATGTGAGTCTATTTTATTCTTGCACCTGATTATTTCATTATTCTGTTTCTCCTTCGTGCCTTATTATGTTTCTTTGTTTAGGTTTTCACTGGTATATTCCCAAAGAACTATGAACCTCCCCCAGGTGGCTTTTACTTTGAAGTAAACGATGATTCTCCTGTAATTCAGGTAATTTGTTTGAATGGTATTTAAGTGTCTCGGTGTTTTTAGAGTATCTGATTATTGTATTTCTTTCTAATGAAGGATGACCCTCTTTTGTTTGATTACAATGTTCAAGAGCGTGTTGATGATTTTGTTGCTGCAGCTCTATCACAGGTAGTGTTATCAGCTTGGTGGTTCCATACTTTCTTTATTTCTTCTCTAACCTTTTTTTTGAAGTTCCTTAGGATAACCAGAACTTAATTTGCTGCACTATTTGAAGTACATAACTATATGCAGACACCAATTCATGGCTAGTCCAGTTATGATTATGTGTCTATTTGTTATGTGAAACAGGTTTGCTAATTGAAAATTCAAAATTGAGGTACTAAGATTTGTCTGCCATTGCAGAACCTCAAACTCCAAATTTTTGGTTTTCTGTCATATTTGATCACCTGGATATTTTGATATTTCAGGACAGTTCAAGATACTCCTTAAACACGTTAATGCACTTTGTATCATATCTGTATTTACACATCTGTCATAAAGAAGATATAACACAACATTTTCATGAGCTTTTTTTTTAAATGATATAATCTGTCAAATTAATTGTTGACTATATCCACAAAATCTTGAATGCCTATACTATCATTTTATGATGTGTGCTAAATTTTAGTTCCCATGTCCTTTGTATAATTGACATATTAATATGCCATCCCATTTTATTTATACGAAACTCTGACATAGAAGCCATGTCATGTAGTTTAAAATAGTTTGTTATTTTCTGGCTGTGAATACAAATCATATTTTATCAGTTTTCATTACTTACAACTCGTGGTAAATTCCATCTCTTTTTTCAAACAATCTACAATACTTCCATCAGATGCACAAGTCAAGGAGCTTAATTTAGATTTTTTGCTATAAAGTTTACGTTGTGTTCGTTATCAAGATTTATTGTAATCTTCACTAACAATGTAGTAAACAATTTCTATGGCCTATCAAATTTTACATGCTAGCAATATATAGTTGCAGGAAATTATCAGTTAAATGACAACTAATAACGTGTATTTTCAGGTTTACATGCACGTCTGAATGTGTAAACAAGAGTGTCTTTGTTCAAAATTCATTGTTAAATTGATGGTTCGTCTAGACCCCTCAGATATATGAAACTTATGCTATAGGCTAAGGAATGTTGCATTTTTCAACCACTTCTTTTTCTTAGCTAGGTAGCAATATTCAGATATTGTATGCTCTGCATTTTCTTGTCCAATGATTGTTGTGATACAGTATTTTGCTGTGCCATGTCATGCTCTGGTTAGTACGTTCCACCATAGTACATTATGCACGTGTAGGTATTTTACACACCAACTTGTATGTGTTACCTATACTTGCATGAGATATTGTAGGTACTAGGTAGTATCATGTACAATTTAACTCGTCTCAGGAAGCAAGCTATTAAAAGGTTTGTTTTATATTTTCAGGCAAACATTACCAGAGCAAATCATATAATGTTTACCATGGGGACAGATTTCAAGTACCAATATGCAAACTCATGGTTTAGGCAGTTGGATAAATTCATTCATTATGTCAACAAGGTATTTTTTTTCTGATATTATAAAGAAAATGGCTTGTTGAGTTGTAATTTCTTTAGATATTGCTATTTAGAAAAAAATTCATTTCTTACATTCTTTCCTTTTGTGATTATTCCTTTTTATATATTATGAGATGTCATGATCTAATGTTTCTATTCACTAGTGTGTAACGAAAGAGTTATTAGACCTTGGTTGCCTATGTTTATTCTTGACCATAGCCATGAAATGTACAATTATTTTTATAATTGTATCAACTAGTGTGTATCATCTATGTTTATTTCTATATCATATTTTAATCACCAATATACCCTTTAAGGGCTTAATTTTGCCCTATTTTCATATTTTATGTTTAAAATCCTAGACCCACTCATTTATGAAACTGATATGCAAAAAAAGTCAAATATTATTTGTCATATATACTGTTCATTATTTTGTCCATCCAACGTAACTATATTCTCTTGTTTATTCTTAGAATTACTAAAATTGCATCTCATATATTCACATATTTAATTTAAAACCTTTAGTTTCTGAGGATTACCTCTATAGCTCAAGTTTATAATTAATTTCACTAAGGCTCTCATCAACTAAGATAATATAATCACTAAATAAAATGCATCAGAGAGGTCTATCATGTTAGTGATTACTAAGTTCATCCATTATCAATATGAAAAAGTAAGGACTTAATGCAGATCCTTATTGTAATCCTATACTAATAGGAAACTAACTATACACAGTCCCTATAGTTCTAACATGGGTAGCTACATTGTCATACATCTCTTTAATAACATTAATATAATTAATGGATATACCTTTGTTTTCTAAAACCCAACATAATAAATCTCTAGGAATCTTATCATAGGCTTTTTCTAAGTCAATAAAAATCATATACAAATCTATCTTTTTCTCCCAATACTTTTTTATTAATAACTTTAATAAATAAATATATTTTATGGTTGATCTTCCAGGCATAAACCCAATTATATTTTCAGAGATATTTGTTTCAAGCCTTATCCTACTTTCAATAACTCTTTCCTAAAGTTTCATCATATGGCTCATGATTTTAATTCCTCTATAATTTGAATAATTTTATATGTCATCCATTCTTGTAAATTGATACTAAAAAACTCTTTCTCCATTCATCAAACATCTTTTTATATCCTTCTCTCTCTTTAAAAAATGTGAGACACATTAGTTGAGCTTTTTTTCTCCATGTTTTAGGATGGGCGGGTTAATGCCTTGTATTCTACACCTTCCATCTATACTGATGCAAAATATGCGTTGGAGGAGTCTTGGCCTCTGAAGACTGGTGACTTCTTTCCGTGAGTGAAATGCTTGAAAATTGTGGAAATGTTATCAATTGTCTCATATAGTTTTTCTTTTATGTGACAAATTCATTCCTATCCATTCAGTTATGCAGATAATCCAAACGCATACTGGACTGGATACTTCACCAGTAGGCCAGCCATAAAAGGTTATGTGAGAATGATGAGTGCTTATTATCTGGTATGTAGAACACCTTAAGTTTCGTTTTGTATTCTACATGTAGCCATTTCAAATTTTTGCTCTGCTGATGAGAACATGCCTAACTTTGTGGTAATATAATCAGGCTGCTAGGCAATTAGAATTTTTCACAGAAAGAAATAGTTCAGGCTACACTACTGACAGTCTAGCTGATGCTCTAGCTATTGCTCAACATCATGATGCAGTCACTGGAACAGAGAAGCAGCATGTAGCAAATGATTATGCAAAGCGACTCTCTATAGGCTATTCAGAGGTTACAACATCAACTCATGTTAATGCAGTCTGTTAGTAATTATAAGATGGGAAATTTTTTGATATTAAATGGTACTTACAGGCTGAAAAGCTAGTTGGTGCTTCTCTCGCTTGCTTAACTGAGCCAATATCAAGTCCTGGTTGTTACAACACGACAACAAAGTTTGAACAGGTAAACTTCTTTTATTCTTGCTAGGTGATTCCAATTGTTCATGCTACTAATCCTCTTAAGTCTTATCTTTCTGCATATGTACGTCTCATTTAGATTTTATTAGAATGCTCGGGCCGTTGACTATAAAACAATGTCAGATATGGCAAATGAACATTATTTTCCTTCAAAATTTTAGCTCTAGATAGTTATGGTGGACTAAATACATAATTCTCGAATTTATTCATTGAAGTTCTAAACATCGGCATGCAAGCTATGTTCACTACTACATTAAGAGTATTTACGTTAGTAATCACACAATTAGCGTGCTATTGTGATTTTTCATCTACGGTAGACATATTATGATGTTGGTTCTGAATAAGAGAATAACAAGGCACATGAATTACTGTAAATCCTGTGGCTGTTTCACTACCTATATAGTTTATTGTTCCAGTGCTATGTTTTTCAGTAACTATGTAGTTTATTTTACTAAATCAGCAGAATTGATGCACTTATGTAGTATATGCTTAAGAAAAGCATTTTTTTACATGTCCCTCCACCATGAAACAGTACAAAAATAAATTGTAGGGTCATTTTCACAATTTGTTTAAGAAAATATTCAAGGGATATTCTTTTTCTCTTCTTTTCAGTGTCCTCTTCTGAATATAAGTTATTGCCCACCATCTGAAGTAGATTTGTCTCTTGGAAAAAAAATGGTAAGTTCTAATATCAAATATTTTTCTATGATATTTCTTCTGGTTATGTCTTATGGAAAAATCATTTTTTTTGGGGTTCACGTGTAATCCATAAATCTATTATTTTTAGATTGTTCTTGTCTACAATTCTCTTGGATGGAAGCGGAATGACATTATTCGTATACCTGTAAGTAATTATTCTTCCCTATTACTCATCCTTAACTGATGTATTTCTTTATTTTTCTAGTCATTTCCAAGTCTACTAGAATCTTTTAGAGAGATGAAGCTTCAGATTTGGATTGAATTTCTTAGTTCATACATTAGCATGCCAGTGCAACCTTGCCTACATCAGTTTTGATTATATATGTTCCTTGTACTATTTATCACTTTTGCCTGTAAGGAAATTGTTGACCCATACATCACCATATATCGATTTTACCAATATATCGATTTCTCATAACAACAAAAGACAATGTCATACTGGGTGCAGATGATCTACTTTGTTCCTTTTCTTCAAAACACCATGTAAGAACTGGGACTAAATGGATTCTGTCCTAGGAAATTGCAAGGAAGGTATTGCAACATCTCTTGAATTTTAAGAAACTTATACGTAATTGTACTTGTTGCAGGTGATTAGCGAATCTATTGTTCATGATTCTGACGGAAACGAGATTGAGTCTCAGCTTTTGCCTTTAGCAGATGCTACAATCAACTTACGAAGTCACCATGTCAAGGCATACTTAGGCATTTCTCCAAGTATCACACCCAAATTTTGGCTTATTTTTGCAGTATCAGTACCGCCTCTTGGTTTTAATACATACTTTGTTTCAAGTACAAAAGGAAAAGGTAAAGCTATCTATTTGCGAAGTTATTTTTATGTTTATAGAATACCGTACCGTACCATTGTACCGATCAACTGTCGGTATGATACATACTGAGGTATACCGAGTTGTACCTAGTATATTGACACATGGTATACACTAAGGTGTACCGACGTAACTCCCGTACCGGTCCTCTATTGGACCGGCACATACCACCTGTACCGAGCTATACCGAGCGGTACAGTACGGTATTGCAAACCATGATTTATACACATTTTAGAGACATGAAATGTATCTGAACTATCTGCTGAAAAAGTTGCAGGTTCAGTTGCTTCAGTATCAACCTTTTACTCATCAGAAGAAAGTAAGAGCAGCAACATCGAAGTTGGAAAAGGAAAATTAAAGCTTCTGTATAATGTGAAAGATGGAACACTCACTCATTACTTGAATAGCAGAAGCTTGGTATGTTTGATGGTAGAAGATGGGTGTTTTATCGATCTTTTTATGGTTATTTATTTTCTCTCTTAGTTTTTGAGGTTCTACTAACTGTCATATTGCAGTACAAGTTCGCTTTTAGATCTGATATTTGAAATTTGACACGGAAAATCATGATACCGTTCTTGTAGCTTTCCAAGCTTATGGTTGTGTTGTGAATATTCAGTAGCATTTGATTTTTATTTCTCTGTAAAGCTTTCCATGTCCCTAATTGGTGGTCTGTTTTCAAGGTAAAAGCAAGTATGGAACAGACATACAGTTACTATGCTGGTGACAGTGGAAGCGGTAATGATCCTCAGGTACAAATCCTTGCTTCAAGTTATAAGTTCTTTCTCATATAAATTTGTGATGTTTAATTTATAACCATGGCTAACTTTATGGATAAGTTTCTCAAGAAACTTGTTTGAATTGTTGAAGGCTTCTGGAGCATACATATTTCGCCCAAATGGTACATTTCCCATAAAGCCTGAGAAGAAGGTACTTATTTCTTTTTAGATAATTTGAATTATCCCATGTATCAAGAGTTTGTCAATGTAGTAAATGTCTCCTAAATATTCATATATTATCTTATTTCTCAAGACACCAACCACAATTGTTCGAGGATCTATACTAGATGAAGTGCATCAGCAGATCAATCCATGGATATATCAGGTAACAATTTTTAAAATTTTGGTGAATCCTATTGTAATAATTAGTACAAGAACTACATTAGATATCTATGCTGGGTGTATCTATACATACCTGCATCTCTACTGTTTATTGAAACTTCTATACTTGTGGGTCATAGAAAGCCTTATCAGCCAAACCACACACACACACATATGTATATATTTTTTTTGCTTTTTATGTAGCAGCTTGGTATAAAAAATAAAATACTTGATAAATAAGAAAAATTCACTTGCGGCATTTGGATGGTGTGCTAACTTGCTGACTCTACCTAATGGAATTTAAATTCTTTGGAGTGGATAGGCACCTTGAAATCATACCGAATGTTCTTGAAGTTGATTTGGATATTTTCAAAATTTGAATTGTGTAGACATCTATAAAGAGGTCAATTAAGCTGCCAGCTTGCTAATCTTGGAAGGAACCAAATGATGAATTGTATCTGAAGGACTCATATCCATTACAACTTTCGACTATTTGGAGTCGCCTTTTGTAATGGGCTTTTAAATTAATTATATTCTCTTTTGGGTAAAGAAAACTGAATTCCTGTCTCTATTTTATTATTTTTGCTTTTTCTGTACCAGGGATCCTTTTATCTTTCTGTCAAAAAATCCCAGTTCTCCTATTATCATGACAGCTAACCTTAACATTACATATATGCACTGAGCAAGATTTCATAAAAATAAAAAACAAGACACTGGCATAAGTCCTCTCTGAAACATTTGTAATCTGTGCACTTTTAGTGGACTTAGATGAACCATATAATGCATGCAATCTGACCGAATTCTCTCCAATTTGCACTCCTCTGGACTCAAATATCATCTGTTCTGCATTTTTGTTTCCCATATCAGATAATTGAGAATCATGTGAATTTAGAGTAGTTCAGTTTTTCAAACTACATAGTCAAAACTGAATTAGAGATAACATGGGAACATAAGATTGGCAATAACAAATTTAGGGATGCTGACCAACACAAATTTCACTACTCAACTAGTAAACAGTTTCAGGAAAGGCTAAACAGTTTAGGGATGCTGACCAACACAAATTTCACTACTCAACTAGTAAATATGGTATCTCTATGTGCAGGTTTCCAGGGTTTACAAGGACAAGGAGCATGCAGAAGTGGAATTTACAGTAAAGAATTTTTTATTAGAGCTTTTAGGGTTCCTATGTTTTTCACAATTAATACCTTACCTAGTGCTCATGCTGGTTGTTACTAATGAAGATCTTACACTGATATATGGTCATGTTAGGTCGGGCCAATACCAGTTGATGATGAAATTGGGAAGGAAATAGTGACTAAAATTACAACAGGCATGGCGACGAATAAAACATTCTACACAGATTCCAATGGACGCGATTTTATTAAAAGGGTATTTGTGCTACATAATTTACTATATTTTTCAAGTGTTACCAAAGAATTACATTATATTGGCATGTTAAACTTTGGCTTGAAGTTGACCGATGTTTAATATGTCTATTTCTTCATATTTGCACTTCCAGTGAAATGTGTATATGATTCATTCAGAGTAAATGAGAAACAACCAATAAAAGTTACTTTCATATATTGACGGCACATGAGAAGTCTTGGGATGCCTTGAAAATATGCAATTGTATGTTCTTATAATTTATCACTTTCTATTTGATTTGATTTTTCTCAACTGGAAGAAATAGAAGCACATCTCGGACTAGCTGGTCATTGCCAGATGCAATTAAATATACGAGCATATGTAGAGGTCTTTTTTGATAACCATTCAGACTCTTTTAATTTTATTTATCTGAAATAGTTGTTGCAGGTTTAATGGGGCAGCTTATACAAAAAATTGTTTTATGTTTTTCATGCTTCATATGCCCTGTAAACTGCCACTACTTTTCATCTTTTTTGGTGTGGTGGAAACTATGGATTCGATTGCCAGAGAGTTTATTGTTATTCCCAGGTTCATAGAATTATAGATCATAAATTTCTTGTGTCAGTGTTACTCTGTGAACCAATGATCAGACAGATCAAGGTTTTAAACTATGGATCAATGTTGTACTAATACATGTATAAGTTTGAACTAGAGAGAAAGAGGGAGAGAAGAGGGGAGGGTTGCTGCAGGACTATTATTTCTAATTTGAATAAATTTCATTAGTTTAGGGGTATTTTGAATATGTTGTAAGATGCCACATGGCAATATCTCCAATGTTTCTACTTTAGTTCCTTGATCCTTTGGTTGCTTAAGGAAAAGAAAAAGGATGTCAATGAGGAAAAACATGTAAGAAATCAAAACTTGGTTTGATTGAAAATTACAAATCTTGATTAAAGATTTCACTTGTACAAGATGTTTCCATCATCCTTTGTAGATAAAAATCTACAAACTAAATCTATCATTAAAAAGAAGAATGGTCTCCAAAACAAATGTATCAAGGACTTGACACTCTCACCAAGGCATGGGCTAGGAAGGGTGAATCTGTGTTCAGTATTGGTCACCGGTTCCATGCCGGTCCATGATCGGACTGGTATGGGTTTGGTCTGCCTCGTGTACCATGTGTTCAGCATACCACAATATTGTTGGGGAAGGGAAAAGTTGGGAGGAAGAAGGAAGAGGAAGTGATGTATTGGAGCGAGGAGCATACAGTCAGCAGCATGCAGGCGACGATGGGTGGAGAGCAGACACAAAATTCCTCGCAAGGAGTCGCATTGCAAACCCTGGTTAAGGTTGTAAGAAAAATTATATATATACACACACACACACACCCCTGTTGCTGGTTGATGGTCAGACTGATAGATACTGGATGAATCATACCAAACTGGTTGGTTTTGCAATCGATGATCTTAAGCTGTAAGAGGATATTTTCGTGACTTGAGCCTTAGTAATCCAGGTCACAGAACGACAACCTTACCTTGGTCATTAGCAATGCTTTTTTAAAGTGTTTATTCACTGCTTTCATGGCTTATCCAGTTCTTGTTCCGGTGCGTTGTTTATAACCTCCATAGTAGAATTTATGATAGCAGCATTCATGAGAAGAGGCTTTCTCACTGTATTAGAATCTTACATCATCTGCAGGTCCGAGATTACAGATCAGATCTGGAGTTACAAGTTAACCAACCTGTTGCCGGAAACTATTACCCTGTAGGTTTATGGTTCAGATGAACACTCCTGTCCTTTTTATTTTTCTTCCAAAACTTAAATGAGGTGTCTAATAGATATTCTTTTCATGTAAATAGAGTTATTCTATGAGGATAAAAGTAAAAAAAGATGAGTGGAAACTGGGTAGCATATTATATATTATTATCTTTAAATGGACAGGCTTTATATTCGTATTGTGCTATTTCAGATCAATCTTGGAATTTACATGCAAGATGATAGCACAGAATTCTCAGTACTGGTAGATCGTTCTGTTGGTGGTTCTAGCATACTGGATGGGCAAATTGAGCTTATGCTTCATAGGTAAGTTAACATAAGATGAACAAAGTACTTCAGTTGAAATCAGACGTGTTTTTTTATGTGACATTCAATTTATATAACTAGACTGATTTTATGTTTTATTTATTATTGTATATTGTACAGGAGATTGCTCTATGATGATGGTCGAGGTGTTGGGGAGGCACTAAATGAAACAGTTTGTGTCAATGGTGAATGTGCAGGACTAACAGTATGTATATATTGGTTGTTATTTGTGCATGCTTATCATTTTTTAATCAACCTTTTGAACTTATTGATGGCTCTTCGAAGAGAGAAATCTTGATTGAATGACATGGTGGAATACTATGAGATTGGAGTAAATTTGCTTGAATTTGATTTGTCTAGGAGGAAAATACTCTGTTGTTTTGGTTGAATTTCTTACTAGTGGATATTTTCATAGAATATCTAGTTTCTATTACTTGTTCGGCGTCAGAAACAAACTTTTCGTATCTGCACATACCATCTAAATCAAGGTACTTATGCCAAGTGAAAAGCTTTGCAGGTAATTTACATGGAAGCTTAATGGGTTATCAATTTTGACAGGTTCAAGGTAAATTTTATGTTAAAATTGATCCGCTTGGAGAGGGATCTAGGTGGCGTCGGACGTTTGGCCAGGAGATATATTCTCCTCTCCTTGTAGCATTCTCGATAGAGGTAATACAGCGTCTAGTACCTCGGCTTATAAGTTTGATGCAGGTTCACCATTTTTGTTTTCTCCAGGATGGTGGTAATTGGACAGGATCCCATACTGCAAATTTCTCAGCAATGGATCCCTCCTACAGCTTGCCAGATAATGTTGCACTGATCACTCTTCAGGTATGTGACTTTTCTCCAAAAGATCCTTCCAGAGGCGACCACAGCAAACATTTAATTCTGATAAAATTGAAGCAAAGATGCTTATTGAGTTCTGTATCTGCATGCTTTTTTGTTACATTTTACTTTCTTGTTGTTAATATATTACTAAGCCAACTTGAAGAATATTTCTAAACTACTTGTCTGAAAATTCTAAATGATTGCAATTTACCAATGTTACTGGGATCTCAATCTCTAAATTGGGGCAAATTACTAGTGTTTAGTGTTTGGTGCTTGTCATTTTCTGGCACAAAATAAAGTACCTTGCAACCATGTTGGGGATTTTGTCAGATATGCACATTGTTGACGTTATCTTACGTAGTACACATTAGACTCTGCCTATTGTAATTGTACATGTGAGATTTGCTCTAACAAATTAATGATTCGACAATTTTCTTCCAATCTCTTTCGGTTATCCATAACATAACTGTTATGAATACCCACATGCAAATGCACATTGTGAAACCGAAATAGTAGCGTCCTTGTTACATTTGAGATTTAGATCAACATGGTATCATCGGTGGTCTGTGATCATTGGAAATCTCCGAAAGCCAAGTCCAGAAGCTGAAATGAAGAGGCTAATTACTTAACAGGACTAGATCATTGTGGTTTAAGTTGTGGTTACTGGTAGTTTTAACATGTTCAGACTGATAGGCAAGTGATCTCCATGTTTTTTTTGTTCTTCTCTTTAATATCTTATTTTTCGAAAATTTAATATGCTGTCAGGAACTTGAAGATGGAAATGTTCTCCTTCGGTTGGCACACCTTTATGAGGTATTATTTCTCTTATTTCCCATTACAATATGTCATTCAAGTAGTGGATTCTTTCTACCTGTGCATGGAATTTAGTAGGACTTCCAAGTCAAGTCTATTCCTAATTTGTTTTGTTCATTTGACAATGTAAAGGTGGGAGAGCATAAAGACCTCTCTGCAATGGCCTATGTGGAGCTTAAGAAGATGTTCCCAGTGAGAAAGGTAAAGGAATTCAACTAAACTGATTTTCTAAAGATCAATTATAACATCATTTCTGTGATTCTGCTATTCCAGATTGGCAACATAATAGAAATGAACTTGTCTGCTAATCAAGAGAAGACTGCAATGGAGAAAAAGAGACTGAAATGGAAGACAGAGGGTTCTTCTGGTGTTGAAACCATTGCGAGAGGAGCGCCTGTCGACCCTTCCGAGCTGGTTGTGGAGCTTGCACCAATGGAAGTCCGCACATTCTTGATAAAATTCGATTATATTTCCTTTGCCAAAATTGGTGATCGTTGAAATGTGTAACTCAAACCATCATCGACTTTAATGTAGACCCATGTTGCTAATAATGCCGAGCCTTAGAGCATAATCTTATTTCACTAGCTTTTCACCAAATGTAACATGCTCTGGGTTCGTCCTGTCCCATATATGTTCTAGCACTTTTCTAGTCGAAAGTAATTTGTTCGATCGGGATTGTAACTGTGTTTTGAGTTTCTGAAGATAAAATAAGGGGTTGTACTTTTCCTGCTAATATTTCTGTATATAATTTCTGTAATTTGATTGATTTTGTTGTTTACTAATGAGCTTTTTCTTCCGATTGCCGGTTTATCGTCTTGAGAAGACCATCCAGGAGGAAAGGATTGGACCAGAAGTGATGTTAACTTCAATTGATGAGGTTGACTCTCTTATGTTAGCTCCTCGAGAAGTTTATGGCGAAGCACATTCTATCATCTAAATTATAGGATACAATTGCCAAAAGTATTATAGGAATATGAAGAAAAGGTTGCAGATGACATGCTGCGCATCACAGTGGAGGAGATGCGGAAGGTACGCCATGACATTGACAAATCCCATCATATCTCCATAGAACTATCAGATGTCTCGAGATCATCGCATGGTAAGTTAAAAAATTGATTGCATTTTACATCCATAATTTGAATTATAATACCAATCGATATATTATTTTCATTAGTAGGTTATTATGCCCCTTTAAATATCGATGGCATTTTGAGGTGAGAGTGAGGGAAAAAGTGTTGCACCTTCACACAAACATAAAGTCGTGCGGTGGTTGGAGTCAGCTCGGTGGGTGGAAATGAGTGAGCAGAAACAGATCTTTGTTCTGTCGGGACAGAGCAACATGGCCGGCAGAGGCGGCGTCAGACACCACCGGTGGGACGGAGTCGTCCCTACGGAGTGTCGTCCCAACCCTTCCATTCTTCGCTTCTCAGCCCGATGCCACTGGGAGGAAGCCCACGATCCTCTCCACCGCGACATCGACACCGCCAAGATCTGCGGCGTCGGCCCGGGCATGGCCTTTGCCAACGCCCTCCTCCCCTGCCTCTCGGACGAGGCCGTCCTGGGGCTGGTACCGTGCGCCATCGGCGGCACCGCCATAAAAGAGTGGGAGCGGGGATCGCGGCTCTATGAGGAGATGGTGCGAAGGGCTAGGAAGGCGGCCGAGCTCGGCGGTGGCGGGGAGATCAAGGCGGTGCTTTGGTACCAGGGGGAGAGCGACACGACGTCGCATGGTGCTGCGGAAGCGTACGCGGCCAACATAGAGAAGCTTATCCGGGATGTCCGATTGGATCTCTCTCTGCCTTCTCTGCCGTTCATCCAGGCAAGTCTGCTTCCAATTATAACTTCTTTTCTTTTCCTTTCTGCGATGCTTGTCTTCTGTTTCCATGCTGCAAGACCCTGCCTTGGCTTTGGCTTATTTTTCGTTCCGTAGGTGGTGTGAATATGATCGTAGAGCAACCAGCAGATAGGAATCTGATCCACGGAACCACTGATCGTCTAGATAGACATGATGTTAATTAACCTAACTGGTATGGATTTTGACGATCGATAGCAAGATCCATGGTCGAATCCACCACTTTTCATTATTCATATCCAATTAGCCAAACAGACCACCATTTAAAGGGCAACTCTGCAGAAATGCCTCGTGTTTGGGTTCTACTGAACATAAACATGATATTCCTTTACTCAACCTTTTAATATTCTCTTCTATGTGGGAATGTGGTGGAAACATGACTGAGACAATGACCATTTCTTCCTGGCATATATACTGAAGGGATCAAGCAGTATCTTTGAAATATGAAACTATTTGTTAGTCCTAGGTTGTGCTCTAGTTATTGCTCACTCTAATGTAAGCACTGGCAGAACAAATATTGTGGAGGGTGTGAAGGGATGAGAAAAACTTTTCTATGATAAGAAAATTGGGCAAAAGGAGGATGATCCTCTTAATAAGACGAAGAATTCACATATCGCTATCTTAGCCATAAAGAGAGTGAAGGGCAGGGGAACTTGTTAAGGAAGACATGGGTTAGAAGTTGGATGAAATACACAATATGTGAAGGATAAGATTTACTTGCTCTCAGATAGTCTGAAAGCTGATATTTTCTTTTCTCCTCCTTCGGGTTGGTTGTCATTCTAGCATAAAGGTTGGGTGAGGGGACATGTAACAACCAAAGCCTTTTATGTCACTAATGTGGGACCAAAATGCTGCTTTTATGTGAGACTTCCTCTCTTTTATATCGTGGAGTCTTCTAGGCTGATAAAGGGGTAACTACGCCTTTGGAATTTGCATGTTAATGCAGTTGATTCTGAAAACCTCGGTTTATCCATGGTAAAATAAGAGTGGTAGGTATTGAATTTAGTTGGCCTAAGATAATGGGCCTAGGTTATGTTATTGATCTAGAATAAGTGATTGACCTAGGTGCATATGGAGAGGAATGTGGCTGGTCTTGCTTGAGACTAAAAGGCTAAGGATACACAAAGTTAGAAGAGTATAAGATCGATGAGAGGATTTAGTGAGGAGAATTGTGCAATCCACCAGAATGGAACATCTGTCATTGTAATTGCATCTGAATGTTCTGAATATTGTGCCACTTTTTGTAAGATTTACAAGTAAATAACTTCTGGAAATTTTTAATTTTGGAAAAAAAAATCCTACGATTAACATGGAATTAGTGAGGATGAGTTGAATGAAACTTGTCATTTAACATGAATCTGAAGCAAAATAGAATTGGAACCCTAACTTGATGATGTGAATTCAGCATGCCAAGTTGGATAACAAGAATCAGTTCAATGATGATTTTTCTTTTGTAAATATAAGATCGACTATGGAACCCCTTATCCCACCATTGGATCATCATTAAGTGTGACACCTTAAATTCTAGGCCTTTTGACAACAGTGTGTTCCATGCTTGCTGATTTAGATATGATAATTTGATTTCGCGCATCAGCATGTTTGTCACTCACCTTGTGGGATCAATTCTTTGTTGCATTATTTACAAGATGTGTGGTTTTGAAATTAGTTTGACATAATACTTGATTAATACAAGGGTTTACGTCAGCTGTTTTAAGTGTCTCTCAGTGGTTTGGACCTTGTATCATAATTGGACATGATTTGGTTGCTCCAAACTCTCTATCTGTAAGTAAAGAATATCTGGCCTAGACAAAACAATGCCTTGCTGTTTCCTGGTATTGGCTTTGGGCTTTTCTTGTGCAGCCTAGGTGGAAAGTGCGAAAAGGGGGAGCCCTAGCCATCAGTGACGGACCACTCCAGAAGAGCTGAGCTAGAATTCTAACCTTGTATCTGGGTGTTGTCAAATTAATGATTTATGGTAGAAACGGTATTTAGTTCTGGTTGTGGTTTTTATCTAAAAGGTTTCCTTTTGCATCCCCAGGTCGCTATCGCATCGGGTGACAAGCATTACATAGAGAAGATAAGAGAGGCTCAACTGGGAATTAGTATGCCCGATGTTCTCAATGTAGATGCTATGGGTTTGCCACTAAATGAAGACAACTTGCATCTCACTACTGAAGCTCAAGTCCTGCTAGGCAACATGCTTGCAGAAGCCTATGCCGAACACTATTTGACGACGATCGATGGCCTCTGAAAGAAGCTTTGAAGGCGTGCTATGCCACAACCATGTTCCACAGAATCGACTCTTCTTGAGATGGCTGAAACTTGGGATCTCTTTTTGATGCAGTGATCATTTGATTGGCACAATAATTATTGCTTTTGATTCAAACGGAAATGTTTGAAATCTTTTGGGCTGTGATTAACTGACTCATTTCTCAGACATTAAATTTATATAGATTGGAATGGTTGCTAAATGAAAGAGAACTACATGAAGATAATCTCATGGTTCGATGCACATCTATCTCTATGGTAGGAATTATAATTGAACTTTAACTTGGTTTCGTTTATCTGATGTACGAACCTTCTTTCTTTCTGAGGGTTAAGCTTTTATTTATTTATTTATTTATTTCTGAAAGGTGCGATACTCTATTTGTTTCATTACTTTAACAATATTATACGTTTTAAATACTATAATGATAATAGTTAGTTCGAATAATTAACTGTAGTTATGTTTATTTAAGAATTAAAACCGTGTTAGGTTTTGGATAGAATCATAAAATCATTTGATTTAATTTATATAATACAATAACTTCATTTGTGATATTAAAAAAAAATAATGAAATATGATAAATCGGACTGACAGTGCGTATCCCTACGCACACTCGTTACGCCTTTCCTTTCCGGTGGGTAGTCTTAAGGTGCAATTAAAGTGTGACCCCACCCTTTCTTTACACGAGAATACACGCTGTCCACCGAAGTCCACCGTTAGATCTAAGATGATGCTTGTAATCATCGGTCGGACGGATCAGATCCGTTCATCAAATCCAATGCACAGTGAATCCGCTCACAGAAACATAACATGCGGTCACTGCGTTCGCATACGTCGCTGACGCGGGACACGGGCCCTACAGCAAATCTCCAATCAACCAGGAGCCACGCTGCGGCCGAGTCGGACGAGTTAACGCCTCCGACAAAGCAACCCATCTCCTCATCTTTAGAAATCCCCAATCCCGAAGGAAGGGTAGCAAACCCTCGCCATCTGCTGTTCCTTCTCCGCCCCCTCCGCCCATTTGAGAGGTATTCGACTCCTGATATCTAATTAGGTTTTGTCCGTCTCGATTTCCTGTGGTTAGATTTCTTGGGTTGTACTTTTTTGATTCGATTTGCTACGGCTCTTGTCTGTCTAATGGCGTCGATTCTTGTTGATTTCATTGAGAAGGTTGATTGAAATCTTTGTTTGTGATGGTGGTACTCTTCTAACCATTTGTTACGAATGGGATCTGTTTCTGGTGTTAGTTCTTTCGTAAACCTTGTTATTTGATTGCTTGTGCGTGTGAATTGGGTTTCATGGACGGCGAGAGTATGTTAATGACTGCTTAATGTGTTGCTTCTTTGCTTTGATAGTGAGCCATTTGTTTCCTGCTGTTGTGTTGTTTGGCCATCTTGTTTTCGTCGCGGGAGGATTTTGATTATTTGGTGCTTGTTGGTTTCGTATGACGTCATGGCATGTAGCTTTCAGCAGCGTGTATAATTTTTATTATATTTTTCAAAAATTTCTTTTTCGGTATTATGCTATCGATGATAGTGCTTTTTATACAGATATTTTGCAGAAAACAATAATGTAAGATTCTACCTTTCATCCATTTTTGAAAAGAAAACAACTTGATAGCTATCATCAAAAGATGTATTCAAGGGCAGTCACTATTGCGTTCTCTGCAACAGGAGCCAGAAAATGTTAGCAATTAAACCTTAAAGGATCTTAGCATCGTTAGGTGTCCAGTCATCTCCATTGAGCCAGGACCCACTAGACTAGTTAGTCCTAAAATTAAATTGTATATTGAAAAACCTCATAAAGAGGTTCCAAACAGAATTTGAAAAGCTGTGGTTACAGAAAATGTGGTCCACAGGATCCAGGTGCTCTTTGTCTCCTCACACAAACAGCAGCGATGTATACTGGTTATGTTCAGGTGAGCCAATCTCTCAGTGGTAAGAAGGTGACTGTAAGAAGTTTCCAACAAATGATAACAACTTTATGAGTGGCTGGGAGCTTCCAAGGCCCTGCTCCATCCATTCCTTTGAGATCCGAAATCAGTGTTCCTAGTTTTGAGGAAACAATATGCTGATTTCACAGTAGCTGAATCCTTAGTATCAGGGTTGTTAGGTTCTGCTATCGCTTGACACAAAGTGAACAGGGTTGGTGAGTCCTTGCATGGTGGTTTCTTGAAGTGCTCCAATAGGTAGGCAGTATTAGAGGAGCATTTTTCTTTATTGTACATGTCAAATTGGCGGGATGTAGAGGATTACAGCTCTGGACCAGTAGGCACCGGACTGGTACACGCTGGTCATAATTCAGAGTTTGTTTAACCCATTCTTTAATTAGCATTAACCCAAACCCCCCACCCCCTAGGGTCCTCTCCCTCTTGATGTCACACTCGCCTCCCTTGTGCCGCCCACCACTGTCCTCTTCCTACTTTGTATTTCTGTCCACTGCCTCCTCTTCCTGTAAGCAACTCAGAATAAAATATCTTATATAAGAACTGAAAAGATCTTTAAAGCATCTTGCAAGCTTCGCCATCTGTTGATCATTTCTCTTGTGTTTCGCTTACTAGTCTTACTCAAGCTGTTATGTTTAAGAATGGGATGCTTTATTGCACATTGATTGAGTTTGATATGCTTTAACCATAATTTCTCAACAGATAACTGATTTTCATATCCTCTATTTTGTTTCTGTAAAAACCAAAGTTTTCACTATATTGGTTTGCCATTGGAGCCATAAAAATTCTAAACAAACAACTAGTTTTTCTAGCTGTCATTTTGTTTCATACAAGGTATACATTTTCGAATGATACCGTCCGGTACAGGCGGTATGTATCGGTCTGACAGTAAACCGGTACACGGACCGCTCGCTACCGGGTGGTATATATATATATATGCAACGTCGCCCCACCTTGGGAGAAGAGAGGCGACGTCGCACATTTTTTTAAAATATAAATAAATAGATATATAAATAAAAGAATATATATATATATATATATATATATATATATATATATATATATATATATATATATATATATATATATATATATATATATATAGAATGATATACAGAGAGATATAGCTCTCTATATACAATATCATACCGTACTGTACCGAGAGAGTGTCGAAACTTCGATACAGAAATATATTTCTCTCTGTGTTTTCATATA